AAATTGAAAGGAGAAAAAAGTTTCTTGTTGGTTAAACCCCAATCTAGTCCCTGAATTATTGTACGGATGTTTGATTTAGTCCTTAGTGTTTACTGATTTAATCTCAAATTTGTCTTTCCGTATAAAAAATAACTGGCATGTTCATTATTTAACGATGAAAAATAATTATTTAACGATGAAAAATAATTATTTAACGGTTATATATTACGTTAATAACGAAACATGTTAACTTTTTTTTGTACAGAATAACCAATTTGTGGCAAATTAATAAACAGTAAAAATTAAATTGAGAATCTATACAATAATTTAAAGACTAAATCAGGATTTTTTTAGTTCAGGATCTAAATCTGGGTCTATACTTTATGAACCAAATTAGAAATTTAACCTTTCTTGTCTTATTTTTTAAAAAAAATATTTATTTATCAAAATGAAGAAATGAAGGAAAATGGAAAGGTACAATTTCTTTCACCTTCTTACCTCTCTCCTACATTCTTCTCAATCAAAATTACGATTAGGATTAGATATTTTTAAATTAATTTTCACATATATAACATTCACCTTATGCATTTTTTTGAGTGCTTACCTAAGACTTAAACATGTGCCTAACCAACAAATCCATCTTCTAAACTGAGAATGTAACCCTTTTTCTCTTTCTTGCTTTTAACTTTTTACAAATTCTTACTTCCTACGAACTCCCAAAAAAAAATAAAAATTGTCTGGCTTTTTCTGATTTAGATGGTTAAGGTATATATTCTTGAGTAAATTTTCATTTATTTAAAAATTAATCATTCTTTAGACAATATTAAAGAAGCACTCATGTTGGCCTAATGATATATATATATATATATATATATTGTTATGAGGTAAAGTTTTAACTAAAAGTTTAAAATTTTAAAAAATATATATATATAATGCACATTCTAAAACATAAAGAAGACAGTATTTCGAATAAAAAAAAAAGACAATTAATTTTTTTAAAAAGAAGACATTATGAGACAAGGATAATTAAATAATAATGCATTTAAAGAATTAATTTTTTAATCCTACATCTAAGAATTGTGACCTAATTAGTACAAAGTTTATTCCCTGCACGCTTTATTAAGCAAAATTTAAATTTTTTGAAAAAATTAATAAAAAAAATAATTTTTTATTAATCTCCTTATTCTGATGTGAATAACTTACATCTAATCAAACAAAAAAAAAAAATTAATTTTGATGTCTGGTAAGCTGATCCGATAACATCTGACCGTTAAATAAAAAAAATTAATCGTCCTTCTACTACAAAAATTTCTGTCAGAGTCACATAATTAAGCTAAAGTTTGATTCGATAAAGGATACATCAAACTACGTGACGGGATTGAATGCCTGTTGGTGACAAAATTTCTTCTTCTTTCTTATCTCCTCATAACAAATAATTTCAAACTTCAACAACATTTGGCACATTGCTCTCTGGCCACTACTAACTTCAATTGCTTTGGTTGTCAGCTCAGCATCACTTATCAAGTGTTTGAATTATTGCCCTCAGAAGTTTCCATGACAATCAAAAAATTTTCAGCAGCTTTCGTTTTCCTTCTTATATAGTTGTAATGTATTAATTCCTCCAATAAATATAGTATCTTTCATATTATATCAGAATAATCTTGTCCTATATATACTGCTATGCCATTGTGGAAAGGCTTAGCATGTATGGAAACTTTTCACAAAAAAAAAAAAAAAAGTTGGGAAATGGGTTGATTTTGGTGATTGAGTGGATTTGAGGGAGTAGGGACAGAAGGAGGTGCAAAGTGATTACTAATTATTTCAAATGGATACTCTAACTTATTTTTTGATTATGTCTATGATTCTCATTATTGGAGAATCAAAGTTAAAACAGTTTCTGTTTCCCCACTCCTATATTAATTAATTCCATTTTTACATGCATTTTCTTGGGACTTTTCACTTATCCCACCACTAGTCCAAATTATCCAATCTTGCTAAACAAGACAATGTCTCTTTTCATTTTCCCTAGATTAAAGGAAGTGAAATTTTTTTTTTTTTTCCTTTTTGATGGAAAGGAGGTGAAAATTAAGTTTTATATAGTACTATTTTCCCGCCATATAGACGGTAATAACTAATAACCAAATGTACATCATCTTCAACGGTTCAACCTTCAAGTCCCGATGTTCAAATTATAATGGCAAATAAACGCTTCTCCTAGCTAGCTAGCTAGTCTGAGGAAAAAACCTTCTAAAATCTTTCCTAATGAATTGTCTTTCGTCAAGTTCTTCTTACCCTTACGATATCTTACACAGCTTGCTGGTTGCTGCTGCAGAAGCTAGTACCACTGTAGCTGCGGCTGACATGCAGGAGACAGTGTCCTTTTTCATTTTTGATGGTTTCTACCATGCCACTCTAATTGATCTCGTGATTCCTCTTTTGTTTTTTCCTCCCTTTATATCATATCTTCATTTCCTCCCCTCCATTCCTTGTTCATGTTACATACATATTTCTGCGAATAATTCCCCCTCCCCCAAACATCAATCTTTGGATGTTTCCCTTCCCCCTCATCATTTTTATTAGTACTGGCCTCTACTTCTTGTTTCCTTCCCCTTTTTCACTTCCAAATTTATTTTTGTTTTTAATTTTACATATATATACAGATAAGTAATTTATAACTATTTTAGTGTACCAAAAAAATCAATTACCACCGCCTAGCTACTTTATCATTGGCACTAATTAATTACCTCGCTTGATTAACCTATATATAATCATGTAGTAATTATCAATGGTGGGTCCAATCCCGTTGACGGGCATGATGTATGAACCTGATCATGAATAGGAAGAAGGTGAAATCTTTTGTTTGGATTGGAGAAGGAATAGAGGGCCCGCAGAGAGTATGGAAATCTAGAGAACAAAGGTCTGATCTTTTCTTTTTTCTCTCACACAAGTTGTCAGCAACTTGGACAGATATCCCACACGGCTCGAGCCCACCACCAAATATCACAAAAACTAAACTCCATACACGTTGAGGAGCCAAGAAGATTCTATTCCAATTTCTAAAACACAGTGAAAGTGAACCCACCCCCCCTCACATGACCACCGCCGATTCTCTTTCCCAAATATATTAAATTTAATTAACCCCAGCATTATAGAAAACAAAGCCCTAAGTTTCTAACCACCCAGTTGGGGAATTCCGAGGATAGACAGCTTAAAACACAGAGTGAATACTAATTTTCTATCTTGATCTAAATTTCTAAAGTGAAAGGGAATCAAAATCTGTATTGTATAGGACAAGATACAAGCTTCTTTCTTCTGTCTCTTCTAGCACTCTCTTTTGTCTGATTCACTGTCCTCTTCGTGAAACTTAGCTTAACTTTACGTTTAAACTCAAGATACAGAGACCATTTAGTGGATTTGTTAATGAAGAAATCAACAATGGAAATCGAAGGATTTGGTCAAAGAAGGAGTGAGGGAACTAGACATGTGCAGAGGGCACAGAGGGGTGTAATACTGTAATGGATTTATGTGAGAAAATGGGAAAGGGTCACGAGCGGAAGGTTGAGAGAACCCACGAGGAAATGGAGCTCTGATACAAATGGACTGGACAAGATAGGCATTTGTCTTGGAACTGCACTTACGTACACAGGTTTTGTCTTCTGTATGCGTGTGTCTGTTTATTCATTGACATCTGTGTCTTTCTTGAGTCTAGCTCGCTTAGTTTCTTACACAAGAAATAGCTAGGTTTTTGAAGAAACGACAGTATGCAAAAAAGATGTACCTTTCCTTAGCACATGCTATTTCTCTCTTCCTGAATTTTATTAATATGACAAATGGACACACCCACGGATAATTGCCCTTGCAAGCCGCAGCTTCTTAAGTTCAGCTTTTGAATTTTAGAAAAAAGACTAGACAAAGATATACATTTTGTAATTTTTTTTAATTTAAAAATGTGAATTTTGTTGCATTTGCTGCCTTAACTGCCTGGCAGTGCACTTACGCTTTTGACTTCTTTGTCAAGCGTTCAAGTTACCTATGCAGTATTAGTGTATCTATTCCTCAATTTCCTAATTTTCCACTGGTCAAAAAAAAAAAAGTGATTTTGTTGATTTTTTAATAAAATAATAAAATTTTTTATTTTTTATTTAAAAATTAATTACATAATTAAAAAACTATTTATCACATTAATACGTATTATCATTTAATTAATTTTTAAATAAAAAATTATAAAATTAACATTCTTTAAATAAAAAAATATAAAGTTGATATTTTTAAATAAAAAATTAAAAAAATGTTGTTTTATTTAAAATTTAATAAAATTCATATCTTTAAATTATTATAAAAAAAAAAAAAGGAACAAAACTATCATATCTTCATGTACACTTTTTCTCTCGAATCTTGGGGTGAATTTTTCAAAATTCCCTTGCCTTTTTCTTACCCCTTCTCCACTCAAAATTAATTTCTAATTTCTAATTTCTAAAAATTAGTAATAAATGAAATTTAGTTTTCAACCCAACTTTTTCAAATTGGTCTTGTCCTACCTTTGTTTTTTTACTCCTGTAGATTGAACTCACCTATGTGATTTGGAGTTTTCGCACAGATTCTCTCACGAATCACAAAAATATACACGCAATTAGCTCCTTGGACTTTACTCCATTGCCAATATATCGTGAAGGTACGTATTCCAGTTTAAAACTAATGGAAATGACTTGAAGACATGCATTTAGCCTCTAATATATTTGCTAGTAATTAATATTTTCATAGACAATGGTCCCAAGATTTACATTTTATAGGGTGAAAAAGGCATGCACCAATACATTGACCAGACGAGGCAAATTTATTAAGAAAGTTCTTTTGAACTAATTGGGAAATCTGTGTATGTGAAATTAACATGGTAAAATTATAATGGGATTCCATGCAAAAGTTAAATATTCCTCCATAAAAGAGGTAAAAAGGCAACTAGAGCTTCCTCAATCCTCAATCACTAACTGATCTCTTTAGAATGGGTCCAAATTAAAAAGCGCTTTTTCCATATCAAAATTTTAGACTCATGCACGCCCTATGGTTTCCTTATCACTAAAAGAAAGCCAATTTTTCTCACTTTAGAGTTACATTAAAAGGAGAGAAACACCAAGAGAATCTGATCTTTCCTTCGTCTTTTGATCTCTCCTTTGTATTTTTTTCCTTTCCCTTTTGTTCTTTGTTAAAGGTTAGTGGACATGAGGAAAAATCGACTCCTACTTGTGCAAAAGAACATCCTACCATGAACGTGTGGGGAACTTTGTCATGTACAGAGGACTATTGATCTGAGTATACAGTATATTCTACAGAGAATGTAAAGATATTGAAAGACATTCTCTGCAAAATTTGATATGATATGCAAGAATGATTTAAGTGTATCAAATTAAGTTCGCTTACATAATTTAGTGAAAACAAATTATTTGTATATTAACATTAAAGAATCAGGGGAAATTAACACATGATGACCTCTGCCAAGATTTAGAGTTTATTTAATAAAGTAGAAGCATATTCAATGGGTTAAAGAAAACAACATTTTAACATGTCTACTTAAAGACCAAAACATAATTAACTCGATCAAAAAAGCACCGAATGTCAAAAAAGAGACAGACTAGAAGAAAATGGTGGGTTTTTGTAATATTGGGATGGAAGAGGGGAACATAAAGGCTGTTGGATCACATGCACATCCCATTCTTTTTCCTCTCTTCTTTTTATACTGTGGCTGATGAACGTTAAAGAAAAGTTAATCATTGAAAACAAAAAAACAAAAACCAATTTTTTTTTTTTTAAAAAGTCCCAAAATTCAAGGCTGCTGCTGTTCTCTTCATCCTCAATCCAAGGGATTCCCTGAAGATAAAATATCGGGTCCCTCCATCATCATTTCATGCATATATATTTAAAGTCCCACGATCTGTGTGTCTTTCTCACTACTGTAAAAGTCGCATATTCTTCTGTTGACAGCCAAGAATTTAGGATATAAAATTGTCAATCAGGCAAGCTCGGAGCATCAAAGTTAATTTGACATTTATGCGATTAGTTAATTATCGGATGGTGATCGATTCTGGGAAATGAAGATTGTATGATTTGAAGTGTTGTGTTGATGATCCGTAGTGTTCAGTTTCCTTCGTTTTTTTTTTTTTTTTGCCCTTTTCTTATATATATATAGTTTAAATATAATTTTGATAATCATGGAAATATTATTGCCAACTAATTATCCACTATGGCAGTCAATCATGTCCACCAAAAAGCTTACAGGCCACCTGCTGTGTTGATCATTCCACGAAACTGACCTTCCTTCAAATGAAAACGATGTGCCTCCATTGCCCACTCTTCTCTGTGGAGCCATCACCGAATTGCCGTGAAACACAAGCTGAAATTGGGTTCTAAAAAGCTACATGCGTTTTTGAAACATTAATTCTGGTCCACCTAACTTCAACTTTTACTTTTACAGTAGTAAAAAAGTTAAAAAAGAAAAAAGAAAAAAAAACTTAATATATAATTCAGAGAAATAAGAAACATTTCAAAACGACCCATGTTTGACCGTTTGAACTTCTGTAGCAAAGAAGCACGAGTCACGTCAAATTTGAATGATTGACTATGTTTTAAGAATTTTGAAGGGACTAAATATAAGGATGCCTAATTGTATACAATGAAATTGAATGGATAGTGGGTTAATTTTATTTTTTTTTTTTATGTTAATGGACGGGTTATTTTCTTCAGGACCACTGTTGCAATAAAGTGAGGCGAAACAAGCAATAAGATGACATGATTTCTCTTTTCCTTTGTTTTGTTATACAAGTTCTGTTCCTACATTACATACAAAGTATATATAGACAATATTCTTCAGGTCTACATTTAAGGAAGTCACTGTTTGGATTATTAAGTTGATTTTGCTGTAATTATATCTCAAAATGTTGGGCATATTAACATTAATTTAATTTACTACAGAGTTTTCCAGTTTCAATGGGTGGGAGACTGCTGAAAGATTGCACATGCTATAGAAATTGGATAATAATTTTAAAAATAAAAATAAAAATAAAAATGAGTTCAGATCATTCAGAAGAACGAGGTAAGACAACACACAAAGCTATGCAGAAACAAATATTCCCATTATAAAAAACTGGGGACCCGAGTACAGCACAGAGACTCTTCTGTGGCTGTGGGCATCACAAGGTGCATTGCTCAATTTAAAAAATGGGAAAGACCCTTGACAGTGTACGAGATCACATTGGAGTCTCCCCCCAAAAAAATAATTCACCAATGGTTCAAAAAATGAAGAATGGCAATTAAAGAGAAAACAAAGTGGACGGTAAGGCATTAGACCCCACAATGAGCAAAAAAATAAAGTAGAAAAAACAGCTTTATAGGGAATAAGGAGGAGGTTGGATGATTGAAGTAGTAGTAAGTAAAGTCATCAGGAAGTAAAGAGAAAGGTATATGAAAAGGCAAAGGGGGCATGACAGGACCAAAATCGGCTAGGGTTATGAGGAAGTGGAAGTGGAAGTGGAAGTGGAAGTGGAAGTGGAGGTGGAAAATAACCTTGTTAATGGATACTAGCAGATAGTTATAATGATGGGGGAACCATATTCACTTTCCTCTTTGTCATCACTTTCTAAGGCATGATTAGAAAAAAGTCGATCAATCTTCTACCCCTCCACTTTTGTCCACTTCTACACCAAATAATAGACCTTGCTTCCAAACAAATTCTGCAACTATTAATCAGAGGAAGGTAAAAAAAAGGTTTGAGGTTATGGCTTATACATTACTAGTAGTATTTTAATGTAGATGTTTGTACATTAGGCTGCACTTTCTTCCTACCAAGGCTCACCTTCCAATGCTGCAATCCAAAAAGGAGAGTGGAAGATAAGATGTCGTTATTTTAGATTCAACTTCACCAGAAAAAAGCCCAATCATAGAATAGTTTTGCTATACAAGGTCCAATCCACCAGACATGTGGGCTACCCAAGAGATAACAGACCCAAGCAAGTCCGTTCTTTACCATGAAGTATAGCTTCTGGGCTAAACTTCCAAATCTGAAAATTTTAACAATTTTCGAAAATTCCTTTATAATTATTTTATAAAAAAAAAATATTTTATAATTCAAACTGTAAAATAATACACTTACATTTTATATATAAAAATCAAGGTTAAGCACTCCTACAAAAGATACATCTAAACTAAAGGGCCTCTCAGTATAACCTATATAATAAAACATAGTCTACTTCCTTTTTCGAATCCCTCTTTGCTTGATTCCAAAGTTTTTAATCCCAATGTCTCTTAACTTGTGCATTCATTATCTAATGTTTTTGCTATTTTGGTCTTCATCTTCATCTAAAGGGTGCATACTCGTAACAATTCAAACTATGCATGAAGTTGAAATTCTAATTTCTAACGTTTGTTAGTTGTTAGCTCACCAATTTTTCTACTTGTTGGCTTAGGTAGGGGATTTAGAGATGAAGCTTAACAGGACACGTTATCAAAGAAATGGAGGCATTTTACTAGTGGAAGCTAAGACCATAAACCGTCCATATGTGGTGCTGTCACGTGATCCATGTGCATGCATGAATTATATTCTTATTACAAGTAAAAACTAAACAGCATTCTCTTGAAGCAAAGGAATTACCTAATTATTTAATCACTACTTTTGATCAGCATAAGAACAGCTCATGTAATTGATACGCAGAATACTAATCATGCAAGACAAGCTGAAAACTATTTCAAATACAGAGAGCACAATGAACAAGAGGCAGCCATCAAAATCACAAGAACCCTGCATATAACTTTTGCATAAAAATATCACTTTCACATTCGTATAGCAGCATTACATATAGACCTCCATCCCAATAAACTTGGATGACTTACATAGGGGGCAAACACTAAGCTTACTTTCACAATCTTTACACAGGCAGAGATGCTTACAGGGTAACAAAAGCATGCATACTTCATTGACTCTACATACCTTACAAGTCATCAATTCTTTCGCATCGTTATTCTCCTTGCACAGCAGGTGGAAGTCAATGGCACGGCCATTGCAACAGGAAGCTGTATCATCAACCTCACTATCACCACACCCTTCCTTACTGTCTCTACTTTGCGCATAAACTTGCTGAAGATTACATTTCAGGGAAGTAATCATATTCTCATTGTATCTTGCCCACTGCTGCCAATCACTTGTTTCCATGGTCAATTGTTCCATTCGTTCTTCAAGTTCCATATTTTTCTTGTTAATACTCTCCACTTCTGCTTCTTTTTCGCGGAGTTTTTGAAGAACTTTCTCTTCAACAAATGAGATAGTTTGAAGTTGGTTTGCCTGAACCTTCTCCAAGATGGCTTGCCGCAATCGGTCTCCCTTTGAAAGAGAAGATTAAATTAAGAATCTTTTCAGGAGGCTAAAAGTCCAAAAACAGAACTGATTTATGACTAATATATATTTATATGCCATATTCGGGGTAGAAAACTTAATATTCAAGCAACAACACAACTCCAACCATCAATCATCAAATCAGAAAATGAAACCATATGAAAATGTAAAGATACTCTAATTAAAGCACAATCCAGAACCACACGTTCTTCAAACTAGTATTGATTTTAGCAATTTTTGTTGTTGGCAGTTAAAAACTGGTTCAAGAAGAAAAACAAAACATTATAAATCCTACAGAGAAGGGCAGCCGAACAGTTCTTTAAATGAAAGTTTAACTTAACTGTTTTAGTTAAAATTCAAGGGGCAAGATTATGAAAATTTATAAATCTCACAGATAATGCAAATGCTTGATTTCCTTCCATTCACATGTGGCACTGGCTTGACATGGCAAGTCTCATGCTGACAAACTGAATATGACAACATACTACCACACGACAAATAAGAAATAGAGATACAACACACAAGTTAACTTTGGAAACTACCTAATCCAAGTCAATGAAATCCAAATCTAAACAAATAACTACCAAATATGGACCTCAGACAACTGTCAATAACAAAAAATTTGGCATGGTATACCACATAACACATGTGCATTCATATTTGCCACCAATTATCATCAACAAATCAAATAGGATCATGATAACATAATGAACCATGAAAATAAAGATATTGATGGCATTTCTCCACAAAAACAAGCTAAAAAGAAACCGGCTTTATAACCATTTAATTATCATATTTGAATTAAGAGCAACAAACTAAAGTCTGAAAAGCCACACCTGAACTTTGAGTAATCTATCAATCTCTGCATCCTGTTGCTGTAACTCACAATCAATTTCATCGCCAATGAATGACATTAAAGCTGAATCAGCTGAAGAAGCTATCCGATTGTTGTCTAGTGACAAACCTAATCCCGTTGACACTGATCGTGCTTGAAGAAAATCAACAGATGATAGCTGTGAATTGTTCTCCAAAAAGTCTTGCTCCTTTAATCTCTTCCTCTTCGGTTCAAGCCCATTATTCCATTGCAAATCAGCTGCCCCATCACTGCCATCTGCCACAGCGACCAGATCAGGTGAGAACCCAACAACATGAACTAGAGAAATAACAAGAAATTCAATATACCCAATTATCTAAGTTTGATCAAGGTGAAATTTTTAGCCAAAAATCATGCAAGACCCAGATAAGTTAAGTTTCCCCCTTTTCTTCAATAAACCCAAAGCATGCAATTCTACCATAAGATGGTCTCAATTCCGTAACTCCTACCTTATTTTGATATAATCTCTCATAAATTAAACGAAACACAGAGATTATCATACAAACAAAAAAAAAGGTTAAGAGAAGTTACATGAAGGTACGTATGGAGGATGCTGGGACTGATCCTGAACATTAGCTGTATTATAGTAACCGACCGGCTGCGAAATCTGACCTTCAATTGCGTACGGGTTTCTGAAATAGAAAAGAAAATATTAGATTACGAAACTGACATGAAGATTGAAGAATTATTAGGGTTTTGAAGAAAAGGGATGGAATCATAGAATCGAAGACATAGTATGAAGAAAATTACCTGAAATTCCTCGATTGCTGCGTCTGCTGTTGAGGGGCTTGATAGTGTTGTTGAAGAAAATGGCGCTGAGGAAGAGCCATGCTGATGGCAGGGACCAGTGAAGGCAAGTTTAGAGAGACAAGGCAAGAGCTGGTTTCAGACAAAATGGAGCGGCGAGAGGGCCGATAAGAGTGAGTGGTTATTAATCATAACAAATTTAAATGCTACCAAAATTTTAGGATTTATTTTTAAGTAATGTATGAAAATATTGATTTATTTGTTGATTTTAATTTGTAATTTTTACTGTTATTAAATATTTTTATTGTATTAATAAAATTATTTTATATCAATATTTTATTGATTCAAATGAAAGTAGATTAATTTTCTTTAATTAAGATCTCAAATTTAAATTTTATAAATAAAAAAACAATGTTAAAAAGTTTAAAGATTCAGATTAGTTGACTATTCTTACTTGGAAAGTCCATAAAATATAATATTTTTAAAAAAATTAAAATTAATTGTTTTAATTTAATTTTTAAATAAAATTTAATTATTATATAAATTTCTATAATAAATTAATGATAATTAAAAAAATTTTTTCATTTTTTTTTTTTTAATTTTTTTTTTTTAATTTATTTTTTTTAATTATCTAATCATTTGTTATATAAAATTATTAAATTAATTTACAAAAAATTAAGTTTAAAACAATTAAATCCCACTCAAAAAAGGTAATTAAATTAATATTTAAAATTTACGGAAACATCCGATAAATTAGAAATGGTACAAAAAATACTTAAAAAATAATATTTTACAACTTTACTCGCTTAACATTTTTGTAGGTGCCGGCCCTAGATGAGGGAAATATTCAATATTCTTTTCTAATTCCAATTTGGCCCGTAATTCTGTATATGAAGTGGCCGAATAATTCCTTTTGCATATTAAAACACCCCTGGAATGTGGGCCTAGGCCCTTGTGTGAGTTTAGAATAGAATAAGCAACGCTGTCGTTTTGGTCGGATTGTGTTGGGCCTGGGCTATTAAAGTTCTGGCAACCAGGCCTTGTACCCCAATGACAAACTGATGGTCTTATTTTCGATTCCGGTGAATTTTTTTGAGTGGAGAATTAGTGGTGTTGAGGTGTGAAGTTTAGAACTTCATGCTGTAACACCTCTCCTCCAAGGGGTATGGCCGCCAGGGCCACTTAGTGTTGGACATAACAAGCAAACTGATAGTCTGATACCATATTGCAATCGGGTTGAATCAACCTGAAGAGCTAAGCTCAACTAGAATATGCAGGGTGGTGAATGTAGGGTACAGGTCGGTTCATATTAAACAGTATTTTGTTAATGGGACAGTAATTAATTGAAACCTTTATGAGTAAAAAAAAAAAAAAGGAAATGAGGGTTTAAACCTTGTCTATATAATTAAAAAAACACCTTTATATCAATAATTTAACCAATTTATTTACAAGTCTTCTTTCCTATTAAAATGTACTTAGCATTACCTTTTGTACTAAATAATAATAAGAATGTGATGCCCGTCTTAATATATGAATTCGAATCCCTCTTTAATTGCATAGAAAACAGAAACGATTGGTTAGAGAAATGCGATAAGTTGAGGCAGGCAGGCAGGCAAACAGAGGGAGTGATGCCCCCAGCCTATCAGTGGTGGAGTCCCGAGTTAGTATTCAGGTCTGCATTAGGCAGATAACACCAATTTGCAAGTGACTCTCTGTCCCCTCCCCCCACCACTCCCCATTCAATGCAACCACCTATATTTCTCTCCTCTAAATCCAACACTCCCCCCCACATCTAGACATTTTTCTCACGGCATCTTCTTCTTCCCTCAAATTGCTTTTCCTCATCTCAATCTTACTCACCGCCAGAGCTCAGGTGGATCATGCCACAAGTTTTCAGTTCATGAACGAGGCTAGTGAATGGTCATGGGCAACAGCTCGGGAGGGTGAGTTGTTTGGCGATGATGAAGATCAAGATGGAAACACTGATAGGAGATCCCTGTATTGGAAACCATGGCATTATTATATTTCTTATGGAGCTCTGTCTGCTAACAGGGTCCCGTGTCCACCTTGGTCAGGGCGGTCTTAGTACCCTAACAATTGTTTCAGAGCACACGGCCCTGTTCATCCCTGCACAAGAGGCTGCTCCAGAATCATCGAATGCAGGCGATGAGAGTTCAAGATCAAAGTTTTTGCACTCTTGATTTTCCATTTTTGGGAATATTGTTCCATTCGATTTGATATGGTAATTTTTTTTCCGTTTTCTTTAAAATGAGGTGGATGTTTGAGTAATTATATGCATCACTCCTGTATGTTCTATGATCTGCTAGACTTGCTTTGAATCTCAAATATCTGATATATTATTTGCTGAATCTGTCTGTAAGGTTAAGAAATGAAGTCAGAGAAAGATAAAAATGCATATACAACATTTAATACTGAGTGCATTGTTTTCGTCCGAACAAATGAAAATTTTCAATTTCTACCGAATTTCTCTTACCGCTTAAATATTTTAAGCAAAAGTTGAATCCCACACCTTCACGTATAACATGAGAAACCCCTTACAATGAGATAATGATCATTAAACCACTAAGACATTCTCACATGTTTTCTTTGATTTTGTTTCTAATTATTGTGAAGTACTTTATTAGGGTGAAGTGATAGAATTAAGAATCAATTAAAATTAAGATCTTTTATATTCTTAAACTTGAGTTTTAAATATTTCTTAAATTTTGAATTCTTTTTTAATTTTTATCTTAAAAGAAGATTAAAAGTAAAGCCTTTAATATTATTTTCCTTAAAATCTTAATTTGAGTGTCTCTATTTTTCAGATTTTTATAATTTTTGATAAAGCCTTTTCCCAACTGTTATATAATGTGGTTTTGCCGCTGCCAGAAGGCTCTAGACGGTGTTTCAAATTGATTTTTGAAAAGGGTCTAAAATTTAGGCACATTTGACCTGAGGAACAAAGAGAAATTCTTGCTCATTTTGAGTAAAATATGAACAGATAATCTATAAGAAGAATCATAAGACAAGCAACTGCTTCTCTCTTTTTGGGCACAATGGTAAAGTTAAAAGTGCCTAACTATGCAAGCTCATTAATATTTGAATAAATTAAGGGGCTTGTAAATCAAATTAGATCAAAACCAAAATGAGGCTGCAGAAACTTATTCCTTCCTTGTAAATTGTACTGATTATTATAAACCTTTTCTTATACGACTCAGAAAGACGGTATGAATTATATTCAAAACACAAGTTGGAATATATTTTCGTTCTACTTTGAGTAAAAACAATTTTTAAACAACCAACAAGGGGTTGAATCAAGTGGTAGGCAGCTTGTTTCAACTTAAATAAGGTCTCGAGTTTGAGATTTTGTGTACGTAATAGTCCCCGTTAGGAGACTCACCCACCATTTCTAAGTGCGTGATGCGGATCGAATCCGGATTAATCGGGATGAAACCGAAATATTGAATGGGAAACCCAAAAAAAAAAAAACAATTTTAAAGAATCATGTTTGTCACTTTCGGAGATGATATTTTATCTAGTAAATATAGCGATTTGTAAGTTTAGACTAAAATAAAGTAGGTAAGTTGTGAGTAAAAATAATAAAGAAGTGTTTATCATAAAAAAAATTTAACAATCCCTACGTGACTGCAACTGCGATCTTCTTTTTCTTCTTCCTTCTTCTTCTTCTTTTTCTTCTTTTTTTTTTTTTTTTTGACAAGAGTAATGATTAGGAAGTTAGTAAGAGTTAGTTGTTAGTAATTGAGATTCGATAAACATTTCACCCCTCAAATGAGGCGCGCGACCATTAGACCGCAAATTAGTAGCGTTCACGATGATGGCACGATTAGAAACCTGACCTCGATAACATTTTTCAAAGTAAAAAACAATTGAAACGCATTTTGGTCTACAGATTGAATCTCATGCACAATTTTCTTCGAACAGATATTATCATGACATTGTTTTTTTTTTTTTTGTCAAAAAAATTAATCATAAAAAAAAAAAACTTAAAATGTACAATAAAAATTATTAAAAAAGAGGCTTATGATATGAACGAAGGGCGAGTTTTCCATTTGATGACTAAAACTTTGCGATTAGTTGAAACTAGAACGTATTATACTTTTGGGGCGTGTTTCAATTAGAACTGGTTCAGATTCACTTGATTGTAAATAAATACAGTAAATAAAAACGACTTCAAAATCTCCCCTCTAAGCTGTGTTTCATTTCCTTTCCAACTCATTTCTCCGCCAACAGGAATAACAAGAATAATTTTAGAACAAAAAAATAATAATGCTTCTCATGGGTTCGAGGATTTGCTTCTGAAATCAATCAGTCAATCATATGTGCAAGAATTCTTGAGAGAAATTGGGGCATTGATCTTGTTCGGATGGAATGTGATATTGCAATCGATTTTCTTGATGAATTTTGGCTTAACCAATTTTCCCAGAACGTACGCTCTTGATCGGACAATGAAGCTGAGTTTAAGCTGCACCGGAATTGTTGTCGTCCCCGTCGAAGTGCTCAGACCCGCCCCACTTCCGTGCATAGGCACCTTGTTGCCCGTCACTGTTACAGTCACTGATCTCTGACTCTTCCTTGATTGATAAAACTTCCTCATCTGCAATAAACCCAATTCATCAAATCTGTTAACCAGGGATCAAATTTGAATAATACTATTGTGAAATCTGAAATTTTGGAGTAAAGGTTCAGTGGCTTACTGTTCCAGAACCTATAGGGAGCTCAAAATATGAGAGATCCAGAGGAGTGGCTGTGACATGTACTCCGAAGAATGTTCCTGTGTTTCGATAGATCATCTTCACCGTAGAATTTATCGTGATCATCTCAGTGGCGACGCCACTATAATCCGAACCCGCCTGGATCTTGAATTCCTGGAACGTTATACTCTGCAACAGAATAGAACTCAGATTAATCATAATTCGAAACCCATTTCGGCATTGCATCGAAATAGAAGAGAAATTTGTAGGTTTTGTAATCGAACCTTCATTGTGATCTTGGGTTTCTGGGGCTTACTGGCACCCCAGAGAATCAAGGAAAACAGAGAGAACAGAACAATGAATCCGACCACAAATATCAAGAAATAGTATCGACGAGGGAAACTCTTCTCACGCTCTTCATCTTCCAGAAGGCCCTCTTCCTCAATCACGTAACACTCTCTCCGCTCCTTGCCTCCCTTCCGCTGCCAGCCCCGATCGTCACTGGGCAAGATCTTGCGGGATCCAGGCTTGAGCGAGCCGGAAACCCGGCTGGAAGAGGACTGCCGAGAGTGGCGACCAACAGAGGAATTGGAATGCGGAGGCGAACCTGTGGGGCTGAGCACAGGCGTGGAGTGCATCGAAGTAGTTTTCTCCCCATCGTGGGAATCGCTGGACGGGCTCTGCACGTAGTAGGCTGGAGGACGTGGGGACCTGATCGGCGATGATGGAGAGAGGCTGGTAACCTCGGAGTCCGTGTTGTTGTGCATTTTACAGAATCTGCTTCAATTATCAGGAAAAAAAAAAAAAAAGAACACTGAAAATTATAGTACAATCGAAAGAGAAATGGCGAAGATGGAGAATGTTGTTGTCTCTGAATCTGGGGTGTTCGAGGATGACTTTAATGAGGGAAGTGTTGTCTGCGGACCAAGTGTGATTAAGAAATGAGGTTATTGTAAACACGCGGAATATTAATAAGCTCAAGGAAACGTGGAAAAATAATATTAGAACCGTAGAATGCAGCAAAGAAGGTAAGGTGAATGTCGGTGGGGAGAGAAGATTAATGGAACTTGGGTACCCTACAGCCAAAATACAGTTTGCAGCGTGGTATTGCTCATCACCTCACTTTTGGTTACCTGGCTGGCATGGTGGAAATGCCTTTTCTAGAAACTAAACAAGAATTAAGTGGACCTAAAAATGAAGGTCCATGTTTGGTTTTTTCCAAGAAATTACCAAGGCACTTTCAAAAATTTTATAGGCATTTTTAGTCATTTTGAGGAACAAATATAATGGAGATTAAAGCTAGGTTAGATTATAATTTCAATTTGGGCTCTTTGGGGGATGTTTTCTGGCTTTAACCCTATAATGGCTTCCTGTTATTTTCCTGAGAGATGACCAGGACCAAGCAGAATCATATTTGATCTTGGTGCCATTTTCTGGATCATTTTACTAAAAAAACCAAAGTTACCATTCTTAATAGACCCTAGAGATTTTTTTTTTCGGCTTTTTATAGTATGTCTAAAGCCCATAGGGAGGAAATCCTGTGGGCTAATTCCATATTTGGATTGGGCTAGGGACAGTTTTGAGCCGATTGCTACACTAGAAGGGAAGAGATCGACAATTAGGTTGTCATTTAATAAATAAATAAATAAAAACTTAGAATCCGATGCTGTGAATTGAATTACAAGCTTAAGTGAAAATAAACATATATTCATAGAGGATTTTTTATTTTTATTTTTAAAATTTTTTTGGAGAAAAGGAAGATGCCTCTAGTGAATCACAACATTATCAACCATGGCAAGTGTTGGAAGCTTGAGAGTGGGGGCTCCCACTCCAAACATGTTAACCCATGTGGTGCGTTTGGCATGGCCAGCAAGCATGGCAATTGTTTTTTCCTTCAAATTTCCATTTGGAAGAATGTTGAAATTACACAAAAGTACTCATGGATGTATGGATATTGATTCAAGACATAGGAGGAACTATAACTTATGAGTTAAAAGATGGATCCACTAATACACAAGTTTGATATATCAATACTTATATAAAATTTTAATCATTTATCTATTTATTTTCAATAATTAAGATTTATTATCATTTTTCAGATAAAAACAATAATTATTTTTAATAAATGTAAATAAATCTCAACTATTAAAAATGAAAAAATAAATATTACTCACTTGTTAATCTAAGTGAAAACAGCTCGATTCCTTTAATTAAGATATCGAGTTCAAGTCTTGTAAATAAAAAAATAAACATTAAAAAAGCTTTTTTCTTATGAAATCCGATCTAGTTCGACTTTAAATTAGTTAAAATTCAATGTAACTTTTGAATTTTGAAAGTTAATACAAAAAAAAAAATAAATAAATAGTTGAAATTTTATGTAAATATGGTATGTAAAACTTATACATAAATGAATCCATTATCTATAACTTATAACCTTAACTGTTGATTCATGCTCTAAGGGTTGGTGCCCTCACCTCCTAAACCGAGTTCAATTTGGGCAAACAACCTTACGATAAAAGGAGAGATGCTGCGGGTTGTTGTAACTCACCCCTTTCTCTAAATTTGCCCATGTGTTCCTTTTTTTTTTTATAAGATGAATTACAAGATGAATATGAGAAAAAAAACAGAAACAAGAACACAAAAAAGGAGACACGTCATAGACAGAAAGAAATCCTCAAAGATTAATGGGCTCGTGTCTGGTTGGGCCTCTCATCAAAAAATGATAGTTGAGCCTGACATAAAGAATCGAGGTAAACAAAACAAGCCCATCCCTTTGTGTTTCTGGTGAAATAGCGCAAGCCCAACTCATCAACCCGTCGTCTCCTTCAACTAAAGTCTAAAACCCTAACAAAATCCTACCACCAGGACTAACTGTAATGGTATGAATCGCTCCGTTGTTGGAGGTCTTTAGCTGGAACTTCTCAACGAATAACGGTTACTGGAATCCACAACCCAACACCAATAGTCGGACTATCCAACAATGGAAGTAGTTATAGCTTCATCCTCAGACGACGCCGGCATCGGTTGCTGGGACCTAAGAACGGGGGCCGAAAAACTCCGCTACAAAACCTGCGCCTCCCCTCCACATGGACTCGTGTCTGTAGGTGGCCGCTTCCTTGCCTCTTCTCAGCTCCGTGAACCTTCAGCCTCCTCAGGCTCCGTCCTCTTTTGGTCCTGGTCTAAGGTCACTAAATGATGCCCCCAAACTGTTCGATACATTGCTTATACCAAATGTAGTTATCGTTGAGAGTATTTGACTTGTTATGTTTCTTGCAGCCTCAACCTGAAGTTAAGAGCTTTCCTGCAGAACCCATTAAGCCACTTGCTGCCAACAGCTTAGGCACTTATATTGTTGGTGGAGGTTCATCCGGCAATATTTACCTTTGGGAGGTAATTTCTTTTTTCATTTTTTAGTTTCTTCTAATGTTTCTAATTTTCTATTTCTTAGCAAAAAAATGTAGAGGAGGGAACTGGGTTTTTGGGAAGTCACCTGGGTGTTTCATAGGAGCCTTATCTGCCTTGGAACTGGGAGCTCCCTCATTATTAGGCAATTCCAGTCTTAGCGATTGTCTTTTCATTTACATCAAAAGAAGAAATTCTGTTAACTTTTTAATGCAAATTGGCTTTAGGTGTTACACCGGCATCAGTTTTTAGTTATTGGTTGTCTTCTTTGTAATTTAGGTTGCAACAGGTAGACTTCTAAAGAAGTGGAAAGCACATCTTAGGGGAGTCACGTGCTTGGTTTTCTCTGAGGATGATTCCCTCCTTATTTCTGGATCAGAGGATGGATGCATTAGAGTTTGGTCACTTTTCAGGTAATACACCTGTCCTTAAATGTATGTTCAATGGTGTAATCATCGCACATTCCATGGTGAATCTTGATGCAAAATTTTCTTTCCCTTGATTTAAACCAGAATCTTTGATGATGTTCAAAGCCAGCAGGCGAGTCATCTCTACGAGCATTCTATTACAGAGCATTCTCTGCCTGTAACTGACATTGTCACAGGTTATGGAGGATGCAATGCAATTCTTGTGTCTGCTTCTAAGGATAGAACGTGTAAGGTCTGTCATGTTGTCTGTTTAATCGTAAAATATGTTATATTACTTATGTGAAAAGAAATTTGATACCTTTATAAGTGATATTTTACTTCTGTTCAAAATTTTGTTTCCCATTTAAATTACTTGCTGCTTGAAATTTCCAACTTCTCTTTTTGAATGCATTCTCTGTGGTAATACATGATGTTAATCTTCTAATTATGTTGGAGAGGTTCATTTCTATGTTCTCTTTACTCTTAGGTTTGGAGCTTATCCGAAGGAAGATTATTAAGAAACATTGTATTTCCCTCTGAAATTGATGTAATTGCTTTGGACCCTGGTGAACATGTCTTCTATGCTGGCAGTCGGGATGGTAATATCTATATTGTAGCACTTCATGCAGAAAGCAAACCTAGCAAAGTTTTTGGGATGCATATCATTGGTTTATTATCTGATCACAGGTTTGTTTGTATTAAGTTCATGCCCATTACTTTATGTTCTCTGAGAGCTTTTACACATCTGTGTAATGTTTTGTAAAATGGCACTTGTGAGAGTAATCTGTGATTGGATTACTCTATGGAAGTTTTATTTACTTTCAGAAACCTTTTTTCTGGTTAACAAGTCGAGATTTGTCTGCACTTCTAAAGGAACAAAATGATGTTCACGTTAAGTGCTTCATATCCCAAACTTAAGTATTTAGTGTGCATGTGTATTCATTTTCTCGGACAGAAATGTTTCATCCTGTCTTAATGATAATAGCATTGTGATATAAGCTGACTTATTTTGGTAATAGAACTCTGGTGTTTGTTAAACTTCACTAGTTAGTTTCCAAACTTTTGAATAAACCTACAATTCAATCGTGCACCAGTTCCTAATTCTCTTCGAGTCATCCTTTGGAATGATAATGGAGTTTGTTAGTATGAATTCTACTAATTTTTACTCATCCATAATGAAAGGAAAAAAGAACTGTGGGTGTAGGTGAAAGTGAGTGAAGGCAACTCTGAGAGATACTTGCTTCAGATTAAGTACTCTATTTATTTTAGAAGGTGTTGTTGTAGTAATATCTCAACATAAATTCCAAAAGTTTTCCTGTTACATCCAACTTGCCCTTTAAATAACAATTCTATGATTTTGTTTTTGAACAGTAAGCCTGTGACTTGCTTGGCGTACAGTAAAGAAGGGAATTCATTGCTATCTGGTTCAGAGGATGGTATGGTTAAAGTTTGGGACCTGAAAACCCAAAACATCATTCGCATGTTCAGACATGCAAAAGGTTTGTTCATATGAAACTGAAATATTTTGGTTTGCTTAAGGATTTGATTAGACTGATTTTTTATAATTTTGGTGTACCTTTCTTATTTTGTTACTGCTATTGCTTCATTGCTTCACTAGTTAAGATGATATTGCTTATTTGTAAATTGTGTTTCTGTAATGTGCAGGTCCGGTGAACAATATTCTTATTGTTAAACCACAGTCGTCCCCCAATCTATCAAAACGGCATGGTTCACTGTTGCCACCTCCTCTAGAAAAATATGCCAATTCATCAGATAAAGAGACAGATAATAAGGCCGTCATTGCTCTTCAGGCTACTATTAGTAGCACTCCCGAGCCATTTTATTATAGTTCTCAATTAATCAATGATCACATTAAAGAACTTCAGGTTTTCATTTTTTTTTTTTTCTCTATTTTGGTTTATAAAGTTATTACATATATGATCTCTACTACTTTATGCTTGTATCAAGCACATCTTTTTAACATCCGCATAGATTTTGGTTTCAGTACTAATCAATTTACACACTTCAAATTAGGACCATCATCTTCCGTCCACGTAAGGCCCTAATTTATTAATTTTGTTTTACCTTCTTTCCAGCAACAAGGTAGTGCTGCAGCTGAAATAGATGTGGAGAGGCTAAAGCTTGACTGCAAAAGATCTATGCAAATGCTTCAGCAATGGAAGAAAATGTATGACAATTTGCATGAGTTCTGTGTTGATGAGCTCTTGGATGGGCACCAAGTGCCAGGATCCGAAGGAAACTCAGCCTGAGATGGTTAACTTAGCATAAAACGGTTACAAGTTTTCCTGGTACGGTGTCCTACCTATGAGGTGGTATTTGTCTAGTTTGAAATCATTTATTTTGTTAGAAAATTTTCCTTTTAAAATTAGCAACACGAAGATTGGCTTTCATTTATGTTTGCAAATTAACAATTGTGACAACATGAATTCTTTGAGGCAATACATACTACTTACCATTATATTCTCCCAGCTCTGGTTTTGTATTTTGCATGGGACAAGAATCCCTAGAAAATTTTGCTCCACCATAAAACTTTCAAGCATTCGCTCGAAAAGTTATGGAACAATATTATCTATCTAGCATACTCTAGAAAGTGTTACCGAAAGATTCATTACAGATGTAACTATTCATTTGTAAGTTGTATGAGTGAAGAACCTTCCATGATTCCATGATTTTACTACAGAATCTAAGCACAAGTGAGATGTTATGAGTTAATTGCAAACTTATAACATTCATTTCCTTATAATGGAGTAAATTATCTTTGCGCATTGATCTATTTACATGTAGTTTCCTGATTATAGCATGTTCTAGCAAGGTAAGCCAAAAAATCATGTTATATATTTCTCTTTCTTGTTGCCACTATCTGTATATTGATGAAGAACTAGGAATTTTTTTCCCCCTCTATTTTGATGTATGCCTTCAAGTGGCTTTTGCCTACGGGGATCAAACCTAGCATAATGTGGGTCCAGTCTTAGTGGCAAGCAAAACTGCAGCAGAAGAATACCTACAATTCTCCTAATAATGAATGCATGCTCCAGAAACTGGGTTTAAAGCCTGTGAACCATGTGATGCGGCCCAACAAATACAGAGCCCAACGAGCCTGTTATCATGACACACAGGTCATCAACAAAAGGCAAATATTACCAAATACCACTACCAACCAATAAAATAAAGTCTGCCCCCTTTTACACCCTTTTCCTCCAAGCTGCATTTTGCTTTGTTTGGTGAAGTGTGAAAATGGACAATTGAAATTCAATAAAGGGCTGAAGAAGCCAAACGACCCCCCTAAGATTCTCTTTTGACTGACTGCGTGGGATGCCCAGTTGGGCAACCACACAAAAAAACCATTCCAAATTCAAGTGTTGAAAATAATGCACGGAGAAAAATGGGACCATTTCTAATTCATTAATAAAATATATGCCTTTTATTTTTATTATCTTTTAAAAAATAATTTCCTAGACCTGCAGCATGCTGTTCCCAATGGGGTAGGGTGAAGAGAGTGGAAGAAGAAACAAGAACTATTATTATAAAAAATAAATTTAATGTTTTTTAATAAAAAAATTAAAATTTTTTAATATGTATCTTTAAAACATAAATTAAAAATATAATTAATATTTTTTATTATTAATTAATATTAAAAATAAAAAATTGATATTAATTTTATCATTAATTTTACATAAATTATTTTAATTAAATAAATAATTACATAAAAATAAAAATTTTAATAAAAATTAATATAAAAAAATATACCATTAACCTTTACCTTAACCATAAGTTGAAAAAATTCATAAAAATAATTAAAAATTGAATGTAGAGAAAAGAAGATAACGTGGTGCAAGCAACCATGAGCAAGAAAACCCAACAGCAAAATTTCTCTCCCCTGGAATTTTTTTATCCAATCCAACCTCTTCTTGCAGAGGACATGTCTCTTTATTGTTTATTCATTCATTATATTATGTTACATAATGCAAAGAAGAATGCCTTCCGGCTGTCCATCTGGGCAGTGCTGTCGTTGCCTTTGTGATTAGGGTTCTTTTTTTATGTTTGTTGCAGAAAACAGAACCAGACATGTTTTTCTTCCTCCACAAACCTCTCCCCTGCATTCTACAACTGTCATCTCTATTCATTACAATATGAATATAATAAGTCTTTGCTTGACAAAAACCTAACACACATTCACACAATCACAAAAATTTTAATAGAGTTTCTTTACTTTTAGCTAGGTAGAAATCAAGTAGAGAATATCTTTCTATACAATTACTCGCAACCCACCCCCCACCCCCCCCAACACATTCACAAAATTGCAATACAATAATAACAGTTATACCAAACAGAATCTACATCTGTGTGCCATTTCAGAAACAAACAACAGCTTCATATTATTTGTGTTTCATTATGTGCAAGGATTGCAAATTAAATATGCGGTTTGTGAAGGCAGTTAAACCACAGCTCTGTTTCCAAAAATGGAAAAATGGAGCTTTGTCGTTTGACTGGTATGAAGAAGATCTTCAATTTTAGTTAGCAGTACCAGCTAGTGTTTATTGCACCGCTACATGTAATTCTTATCAACGCCTGCATTATATCGTTCATTAGAAAAAAAAAAAAATAAATAATAAAAATAAAATAAAAAACCAACGTCTGCATCATATCAACAGTTAGCCCCACCTATACAGCTTAGGATCACAATCTGATAATCTTAAAAAAAAAAAAAAAATTCTGTAAAAGAGATTTACCGTAGACTATAAGCAACCAGACTGCAGAATTTAAATCCTAGGATTTATAGGATGTAACAGGCTAACAGCTTCTTGTTCTCATATTAAACAAATGATTTAGCCACAACGTGGACTCACAAGGCTGTGCTACAATCCCACTTCTTATTGTGGCACAATCATTTTCATTGTATGTATTGATCAAGTTTTTATACAAATTTAATAGACTTAAGATGGTTTAATTGCTCCGTATTTTATTCTCGCCGTCACCTATTGCAATTTGAGATGTAAATCCCACAGATGAAGCAGCTTTTGTGCGTAATAGTCAACCTGATCCATTTCGTAAAGCGTTCCATTTTTGTAAGGACGGTAGCAGATGAGAGCAAGTTCATATCATATCAAGCTGTATTTTGATTCAGAATTAATTGCACCATATCAAGATAATGCAAACATTTCATCAAAAAAAGATAATGCAAACATTAGTACAGAATGACTGGACCACCGCCACGTGCAAGTCTCCAGTGGATCGACGTCACCGGAACTTCACCGCCGAAGTCTAGCCAAAGCCAAAAAAAAAAAGAAAAGGGTATAACTCATTCAAAGGTGTTTGGTGAGGCATCTGACACAAGTCATGTGCGTGTGGGGTTTTGAGGTTCTGAAAAGAAAGTGCAAATATTCAAGCCAAAGTTAGAACAGTCGAAACCGGAATAGTTCCATATATATATATATATATATACTTCCATCCAATGTGTATTATTTTTTATGACTTTCAGGGCAAACTAATGATTCATGCACCAAACTTCATCAAGCTATTCAATAGTGGCGCTTCATCTATGTTTATGAGTTGTTTATCAAATTTGAAGATTGAATTTTTAATTATTAACATCTAATAATACTAATTTATTAATTATTATTTTAAAATAATAATAATAAATAAATAAATAAATGATTCATGGACCATCAAAACCACTTATGGTTTTCCCCCTGGAAGTGCGCACAGTTTTAGATCTGAACCCTTCAAAAATGTTGTGTCACGATTCCAATTTTTTACTACTGTTTAATTTTTTTTTTCCCTCCCAAGTGTTCAGTCTGGCATGCAGAGGACCAAATCTCAATATCTTGTACTGTTACTGCTTGCTGCTGCTCTTCTGAATTTAATGTACGTTTTCTTTCACACTAAGGTTTTACCGGCCATGGTTATTGCTATATAGTTTTTTTTTTTTTTATAAAGTTATTTAAAAATATAATAATTATATTTATTTTAATTAATTTTATTAATTTATAATTTTATAATTACTTATAGTATTTAAAAATATTAATTTATAAATTAATTTTAATATATTAAGTAATAAAATATAAATTATTTAAAATTTTTAAATACTTTTAATGAAATAATATAAAACAAAAATTAAATATATTTAAATAATTTTATAAAATAAACTGTATATAATCTACTTTAAAAAACAATTTTAACTTATTTAATTAACTAATAATTATAATTATTTTTAATAATCAAATAATATCTTGAGTGTCTTAACAAAAAAAAGTTGTTTAAACCAAAATTTTGAGTCTAATGATTTATTCTCAAACCTTAAAATACTTAAATTTATTTATCAAAATTTTAACTCTCACTAATACGTTAAAAAAAATCCCTCATTCCTCAAATTATAATCTGTTAAAAAAAAAAAAAGTTGGTTGGCCTTGCGGTTGCCGGTTTCACCCCGTACATATACACTATAGAAAAAGATGAGAAGATCATGAGTTGACTGTTTTGCTCTATATTTCTAAGATCACAAAGCATCCAATATAGATACTCATGAAAAAAATATAAAAAGATTAGAAATTTATAAGTATTATTGAGTAATTAAAAGGCAAAGATATATGTATGTTTTGGACTTTAACTGTCTCATAAAATAATTGTAAGAATTTATTTCAGAACCAACATCGTCATAATTTATGTAATTCCCATTGAAGGAAAGCTTCACTTTTACTCCTTGTTCTGTTTTACCCTTGAAGTAAACAAAATGGTTTGAAACTTTGAATTCTTCCTCTCGAAGCCAGTGAATTTAATAGAGCGAGACCTATTTAATATCAAAACCAAATAAAGAGCAATGCCTCCAGCCTCTTTTAATTTTAGGTAGCACAGTTGCAAAACATCATAAAACAGCTAGAATTTTATAACTAGCTTTCTATTCCTAATCACACAATCATATTGTTTTTAATAAACAAATCAAATTGCTTTAAAAGGAAAGAAAAGAGAAAAATCTCAACAACTTTTTCATTATTACAAAAACAAAAGGAAATTTATCAAACATTATAATATTCATCCACTTGTGTTATATACGGTCACTCCACTAGACCTGATGCTCTGTTCCCAATATCATGACTATATATTTTATGTCTTTCTCCCCCTTACCCACCCTTGTAAGTTTGTACTAATTTCTTCTTCCCCACTTTACTGACCATTCTGATAAAATTCATAGTCTTCACTTTCTCTTTTATCTTCCCCTTCCCTCTGTTGTATCAGTTTTTCTCTCAGTTTCTAGCTCGCTCGGCTCTTCATTACTTTCTCTTGTTGTCTTCTTTTCTCTCTTTTGTAAAAGATATAACAGCTTTTCGTTTCGATCCAAAAGATTCTATTCGAGAAAAAACCATGCAAATTGATCAGTTAAAGTCTGCTACAGAAGGTAATCAGATGGAGATGATGACGATAATGATGGATCAGATAGACAAACTTCCCGAAATTTATGGGTCTTATGACGGGCTGTCTGAATTGCCCTCACCTGAGGTCCCTGATGGTGCAACCACCGGTACTGGCGTCGACGTCGACATGGCATATTTTGTTGATAACCCACATGTTGGTTTAGCTTCGCCGTCTTTCATAAACCAACCAACCAGTACTATTTCATTCGTGGGTTCAACTCCCGTTCAGGAAGTATCTCCATCCCCTCCTGCTTTCTCGTATGGGAGATGGAGAGGTGCGGTTGATGAGTTACCAGGTGCAAGTGCTTCTTCTACAACACCGTCGCAGAAGAAGAACTCGATGGCAGCAATGCGGGAGATGATATTCCGCATCGCAGCAATGCAGCCAATTTATATAGATCCAGAATCAGTGAAGCCACCGAAGAGAAGGAACGTGAAGATATCAAAGGACCCTCAAAGTGTGGCGGCCAGGCACAGGAGGGAGAGGATAAGCGAGAGAATAAGGATTCTTCAAAGACTCGTTCCCGGAGGAACCAAAATGGACACTGCTTCCATGTTAGACGAGGCAATTCACTACGTAAAGTTCTTGAAGACCCAGGTACAGTCGCTGGAGAGAGCTGCGGCTAACCGGCCACCTCCAACAACAGGGACAGGGTTTCCTGTGGCAATGTCTAGTGGGAATTACCTTCCAATATTGCCAAAAACATACCCAACAATTCCAAATGATCAGCGTTATGGAGGTGCTTAATTTTACTAGGGACATATATACATTAATGTCTTTTTTGTTTTGGTGCTGTTATTTCCTTCAATTCATATCTAGTGTCTGCAGGACCAGATGTTGTATTGATATATATATATATATATATATATATATATCAAATAAGCAGAAAATCATGAGTAGTGATAGCACAACTGTCTAAAGATCTTATAGTAGAAAGTAATCTCACTTTTCTACAACAGTTACTCCCTATGTTTATTTTACTCACTTTGGAAAATATCTAAATGGCTTAATTCTTTAAATTATCTTCCGTCCGAAATTCGGGACCAGTACTAGTGCACCGGAAATTCCATCATTCTTTTTCTTAAAAAGAGACACTCTAAGCAAACGACACGAAAAGGGACGCGTGTTAACGTATACGATGGGGGTGTGTATGATTGAGTGTTAACGTATACGGTGGGGGGTGTGTATGATTGAGTATGTGTCTATGTGATGTGAAGGGTGAGGTAATCACGGTGACTTTCCGGCCAAGGGGAAATTCTCGTGAAGACTGACAGTGCGGTAAGCTTTATACATTCGCAATGTGGCAATGCGATGGGGTGGTTCTCCATCAACACCTCTGCAGGTGACACTCAATTTAGTAGGTCAACCCCCTCCTACGTGTCTGTCCAGGTAGAACTTTTCAACTAATTTAATTTAATAATATACTTGAATTAAGAGGATAGAGGAGAGAAGGAAAAAAAAAATCTTTATTTAATTATTAAAAAATTAAAAAATAAAAGAGGGGAAACTTTTTTTATTTTTATTTTTAATTTTAGTATTTATTCAAATAAAATAAAAGAAAATAAAGGAATATAATTTTTTTTTCATTTTCTCTTTTTTTCTTTTCTATTCTGAATTCAAATATATGGTAAGGGCTGGAGTCTAGAACCTTACACATGATTCTAACCTGTAAGATAAAGTGGGGGTGTTAATAAGCATCTTCTTCCATGGTTAGAAATTTAATTAGATTTGAGTGAAGATTCGTAAGTCTTAACCCAATTACAACTCTTTTGGGCCTAAGATTTTTTTTTTTTTCAATTAGGCCTCCTTTCCACCTAG